AAGGTAGAGTACCAAAAAGAAAAAAAGAAAGAGGGAGGGAAGAGAGGGTGGGGGTGAATATGAAAGCTAACCATCAACGAGGGTAAGGCCCTCATCTCCTCCTGGCAGAGTCCTCAATACCTCATCAAGATCAAAATCCATACCTGAAAACAAACATCCAAGCTCGTTAGTCTCGACGAGCTAAAGGCAAAAATAATAAATGAACGTGTGTGCATGCTAAAAAAAAAGAAAAAAAAAAGAAAAAGAAAAACAACATAAACGACCTACCAATTGGACGACTCATCCCCACTTTCAACATGTTCTTCATGGTAAGGACTAACCCTAAGTCAGGGGCAAGGGGCGGAACATCAACCAAGTCCTGGATTTGAGCTTCTAGAAAGGGAGTAGCTTCTACTTGGCTATTGAAGAGACGACTTTGGGGGTGTTGCCAGTTTGTGTTAAAAGAAAACTGACCCTTTGAAGGCCGGACAAAGAAAAATCGGGACTTCCATCCGCTATTCGAATTCCTAAACTTAGGGAATTGCATAGGTACCCTAGTGGTAAAATAGACAAATGCATTACATTGAACTAGCTCATGCATTTCGAAGATACACCTGAAAAGATCCATGGAAGGTGAAATTCCCTTTTTGAGACAGACGTACAGAAAATATAACGCTTTTCTCCATGCATTATGATTAATTTGACTAGGAGTAAGGTGGAACTCGTTGAAAATCGATACAAAAAAGGGATGAATGGGGAACCGAAAACCCCCGTCCATAACATCCTTGTACATGGCTATCTCACGGGGGTCGGACCAGGGGAGCCTTTCTTTAGGACCAGGGGCTCTATAGACGTAATCATCAACCCGGTCATACTTTCCTAGACATTTTTCTAACTTGAGTGGCGAATTGTAGAGACTATAACTTTTTGGGATATCTAAGGGGACAACCTCACGGGCCGGGTCACGCCCGATTTCCAAATTTTGGCCTACAGATTCGGAAGAACCAATGTGTCTCTTTGGGAGATTTGGAACAAATGTCTGAGAGTCAATTGAATGAGTTTCACTATCACTATCATAAAGGGATTTGCCGGATGAATGGGGCGAGTCACTACAAGGGCGGATCGAAGGACCGGACAAACCACGAGAATTAATGGATGGCGGTAGACGACCAGCCCGAAGGCTGGCCGTAGGTCGACCAGCGGGGCTGGTCGAGCAACCAGCCCCGCTGGCCGACGACCGACCCCCCCGTGGGTCGGTCGGACTCCCGCCGGCACCCTCCGAGCTGGTCGAGCAACCAGCCCCGCTGGCCGACGACTGACCCCCCCGTGGGTCGGTCGGACTTCCTCCGGCACCCTCCGACGAAGGTCCGGTCGAATCACTACACCCCCATCACTTTTTTCATTGGAAGGAGAAGAAATGATAGTTTTATACATGACAACAAAAATGATGAAAAGAAGAAATTTAAAGCAAGACCTTAGATCTAAATAAAGAGAGGAAATTATCTTAGAAGAGAGGAAATCTAGGAAGTTGAGAGAAGATGAAAGTGATTTTCTAGAATGAGAATTACACCCCCCCTTTTATAACACTAGAATTCAAATTTTTTGGGGGGGGGGGGAATTGGGGGGAGGGCGTTCTACCACTACACCCAGGGAGCGCTCTACCACTACATCTAGGGAGCGCTCTACCACAACCCCCAAAGGGCGCTCTACCGCTACCCCAAGAAATCATTCTACCACTAAGCAAAATCCTCAACGGGAATGATATCCTTTGTCCAAACACTTAGCCATAAAACCTCTAACGAATCGACAAGGTTACATGGCCGCTGATACAGGTACAATCTTCAGACGGGAAGTTAAGGACTCATCACTCAGAACGTGGGTGTAGTGGGAATATCATCGTGGGACACGTGGCACCACAACCGCCCAGCGGTTACCTAGTGCCTAATATCTATAAATACCCCCGGATGAGACACAGGTAAGGGATGATTTTTTTTTTGAGCTCCCATTCTCGTTTTTAGCCATCTGATTTTCAAATACATTCTTTCCAAGTCTGAAAACTAATTCTCACGCCGGAGGTAAAATGGGGGAGAAAGCCCCGCCTTCATTTTTTAGGTCTTGCATACTTGACGGAGTGGTGAAAACGCCAAACATTACCGGGTAAACAGAAGGGTGTTGAATCACCGCCTTTCAATAAGCACTGCCATATTATGTGTATATTGGAATTATATAGAAAAGTAATTAGATATAGACATTATTATTCCCTTAGCATTATAATTTTTTCATGATCTTTTCATATTTTCAATTATTAATCCATGTCAAATTTCTTTACTTGTTTTGATAATTCCATCAGATTAGCCAGCATTATTTGAATTCAAGGAAAAAGGATAATTCCAATAGCAAATTCAAATTTTTGTCTTGATAATCCTAGCAGAAAAAATAGCCATCAATGTATTGAATTCAAGAAAATTAAGAATAGAGAAGATAATCCCAACAGAAAACCAGACATTTCTGGTATGAGTGTGTATGTGTGTGTGTGTGTGTGTGTACATATAGATATGTATATGTATCTATATATATATATATGTATATGTACATATCTATATACATATATGTATATATATATGTACATATACATACATATATATATGTACATATACATATATATATATACATATATATATATAACCCATATATAAATCAAGAATCCTTCACATATTAAATTCATTAAATCCACAATAAAAGGTAATCTTTACTTTTTCAAAAATTTTCTTCATATATTGCTGTATTCGCATGTATTTGCTCGAATGATGTCTCTTCCATTATTGTTTTGACTTTAGTTGAAGGGGATATTTTAATTTAATGTAAATTCTAAAAGAATATAAAATGGTTCAAAAGAATTTAATAAAAATAAATATCAATAGATGAATTTAGAATTATATATTTTTATTTAGTTTTATACTAATTCTGTCCCACCAGTGAAGTTACGTTCAGTTAGTGGCTAAGTAGTAAAAAACATTGTTTCGGGAGGAATGAGACCGAAATAGCATCATTAAAGAAAGAGTAGTAGCCAAACAAACAGTCGAGCTGATCTGTAACGAATCAAAGTGGCCGTTAGTCGGGTTGATTTGTGATTGGTCAAGGCGGCCGACACATAACAACATTTTTGGTGCTCATCAAAGGATCTAAATTTCAAGACAGAAGATAGATTTTTTTTTTAAATTTTCACACATTTTTTTTTTAAATTTTCACACATATTAAGAAAATGTAATTAATATAATTGAAAAAATATATATTTTTTACATTTTCCCTAATGGTTGAAATAGGATTATTTTGTATTTCTTGATAACAAGGTATATTTAGAAGGGAAAAATTCATAAACCTTGTATTAACTATGAACAATTCTAAACTCATGTTTTAAGTTTAACTAATGCAAAAATCAGATTTTTATTTATTTAATTAAATATATTTATTAATTAAATATAATAAGGTTACAAATATACAATTAATGACCACATGTACACAATTATAGGTTACAGATTTATTCATTGGTCACATATTATCAAATTAATTGGTCATAAATTATTTTGAGGCCACGAATCAAAATTTTGATAGGTCACTGATTATTTCAAAGTTATAGATCACAATTTATCTATCGATTTTATAGATCACAACTTATATCATTGGTCACAAATTTCAAAGAATTATAGGTCACGGGTCACGAATATAGGTCACAAATCCAAAATATTATATGTCATAGGTCAAATATTTTCCAATTTGATGATTACAGATTATTTTTTCAATCACAAAATGATCGAATTTGAAGATCATAGATTAATTTTCGGTCATAGACACTATACACCGATCTCGATCCACCACAGTACATGGTCACTCACTCACAAATTACAGAATTTTAAGGTCACAGTTCAAGAGTCCGTCACCAAGAACCAAATAGCGGGTCACAGACGCCAAACAACCACCGCCTCGCCGCCACTTGAATAACTACACGATCTGCAACCACAATGACCAACAAACAATACACCACGACAGCTAGATCCACTCACCCAACTACCGCAACACCACCGCCCTACAGTACCACCAGTCCAATACCACATCGCACACCACCATCGAATCGTCATTTACCACAACACTAAGAAAAAAAAGAAAAAAAAAGAGGAAGCATGGATCTGCAGAGTGCGAGTCACTGGAGTGAGTGCCATGGAATCGCCGAAGTGAGTGAAAGCGGTCGACGGTGAGATCGAAGAACACAAGTGGAGATCGAAGAGCTCATACATATCGATGGAAGAAAAGCAAAACAGCCGTGTGTCGTCGTCATTTCACCATATCCACTGTTGAAAATCGAACCTCCACCACCACACCTGAAGCCGCCACCACACCTGACCCGGATAGACCCCACCGCACAAGACAGACTCACCACCACAACACAACACATCATACCGCCACCACACCATATCTTCAGACTGTCTTTAGAGCACCGGCTAGCGATCTGTGATGAAGTACAGGAGAGAACATAACGAGAGAGAAGAAATACGTAGAGAGAGCAAAAATTATTAGGTTTTGGAGGGGGGAATATTAATATTTAATTATTATATTGATAAAATTGATTTTTGCTTAATTAAATCTTGTCCATGATTTTTGAATTTGTATCTTTAAACCCCTACATCTGTGTAATTTCCTCTATTTAGAAAGCTAAAAAAAAAAAATTCCATATTTTTAATATCCCAGCTATACGTCCGGGACCACATGGACTTTGGACAAGGAGCTTTTTCCTATTTTTAATAGAGAAGGTGACCTGTAATTTGGAAATTGGGATAGATGAAAAAGAAAATCAAATTTATCTTTGTGAGAAGGAGGTAGTATATGTCTACTTATATAAATTTTTATAAGATTAAAATTTTCATTTGGAAAGTGAATATATATATAACGTAAATCTCCATGTATTAAAAAATTTACAAGTGTCCCACACCAATGAAAAAGCATAGTAATGCGCCATTGAGCCGTTACAGAATGATATTTATCCACTATAAAAAGTTAATTTCCCTTTCACATTTGAGGTGTGCAACTTGTGGAGAGAATTGTTGAATGGAAAAGCTGTGTGCTCAAGGTATGCAATTTGCAATATTGATTTTTGTTCTTCTCAAATCATACATTTATTGAATTAAAAAAATACGAGCCTCAGTTTTAAAATCTCATGGTTAATTATTAGTTTTGAATTAGGAGAGACGGGACGTTGGGTCAACTGTCCAATCGCTCGGTTTCAATGGCGGGGACGGATCTGGGCCCACAGACATTCGATGGTGGGGAAATTTTGTGGAGGGCAATTACCTTACTCTTCACTATTAGCTTTTTTAACATCTGCCGGACAAATATTGATCTGGTGATTGGCTGATTCATAGGGAAAATCTGATTGTTGGTGCTGTCGAATCCTTTCCCACTGGAGAGGATGAAATAGAACGGATTTCATATTGATGTCCAGAGAGATTGTTGAGTGGATTTCGGCGGAATCATTTTGTAGTGTATTTATCTCGTAGTTGATGTATGTGCTTTCTCCCGTGCATTTTTAGTGCGTTATATAACTCAGTGTTATATCAATACTTTTATTTCATCAGTTCCTAAGATCAGAACTGAGATTGTTTATGAATTCAGTTAGCTGCAGCTTAATGGAGCAAACGATTGTTGAAAATGGATTTCCAGAGATTCACCTGCTTCCTGCTCGTGAAGATGCATATGGGGGAGTTGTAGTGGAAATGGAGAAGCCTATGGACCCCAATTCCTTTTGTAAAATGCTAAGAGCTTCGCTTTTACAATGGAAGCTGCAGGTATTTGTATCATTTACTAACCATCTGTTATATATTTATGGTATAAATATAAAATGTGAAAGAAATAATCAAATTAGATAAAGTGCCAAAGTGGTGGAAAATGTGGCATCTGTGTGGGACGTCAGGGGTTCGAGTCACTCCCCACGCAGATATTAAAATATCTTGATTGGGGCCTTGGGCTTCTTCCTTGACTAAAATAAATATTTTTTTAATATTATTTAATGGATAAAATTAGCTAGTATTTTCTAACTGTTTGTTTTTGTAACAACCCACTAACAGTCATTAAAATACCCACTATCCAGTTATTAAAATTCTGAATTAATCTCTGATCATGGTGGAGACTGTTACTTTTATCCTGCCTATATAAATCCATATCTCGTTTTGAAAAAAATACACACAAAAAGAAAATAGAAAAATCCTCTTGTATCAATCCTTCTTTTTCATATTCTGATTTTCTTATGCTCGGGTTTTTACATATATTTTGGAGTATAATTGAGAGTTCTGAAAAAATCATTCGTGATTGCTGCACAAGTGGTTTACGATCGTTGTATCCTGGGAGTGATTGTCCACTAAGGTCGCAGCAATTATCGACAGACAATTTCACTTTAGGATATCATGCTGTCACGAGACTTGATCGGACAATAAGTCTTATATATTTTTGCATTTTATTGTTCTGAACATTACTGCAACTAGTTATTATTCCAACAATCTAAAGTGAAATTATCTTTATAATTAGTTGCCATGTCTGCTGTAGAGATATCTGTTCCTAAGTTTTCTGGAAAACCTGAGTTGTTTGATGGAAAGAATTTTAAGAGATGGCAAATGAAATTGCGATTTTATTTGACAACATTTAAAGTCGTTGATGCTATTGAATCAGATAAACCCGATTTTGTAATTGCTGATAATCCCACTGATAAGGAAACAGAAGATTTTGCTAATTGGGAATATAAGGATTATATGTGCAGGAATTATATTCTGAATTGTTTAACGTTAGATCTATATGATATTTACTACTCGTGTAAATCTGCAAAAGAATTATGGAATTCACTAGAAAAGAAATATGCTACAGAAGATGCTGGAACCAAGAAATTTGTTGTGGGAAAGTTTTTAGATTTTAAAATGAATGATGTTAAAACCGTGGTCAGTCAAGTTGAAGAATTGCAGATTATAATTCACGAAATTATTGCTGAAGGATATAAAATTTGCGAGGGCTTTAAAGTGTCAGCTATAATTGAAAAATTGCCACCTTCTTGGAAAGAATATAAAAATAGTTTGAAGCATAAGAGAAAAGAAATGTCCTTAGAGGATCTGATTATCAGTATTAGAATTGAGGAGGACAATAGAATGGCAGAACGTAAAGAAAGGCTAGACTTTGATATCAAGGCTAATCTTATTGAAGGAAGTTTTGGAAGTAAGAAACAGTTGGAAATTTTATAAGGAGTCAGAATTTTAAAGGCAGAAATAAGGGAAAACAATTTGTAGGAAAGAACAATCGGTCTAAACCCCAATTTAAGAATAAAATTGTTGGTGACTGTTTTGTTTGTGGTAAACCAGGTCACCTTGCAAAGGATTGCAGAAATAGGAAAGGAAAAGCTGTGAAGCATCAGGCACATGTGGTAGAGGATGGGAATTTCTCTGTTATGGTGACAGAAGTGAATCTAGTAAGCAACATGACAGACTAGTGGGTAGATTCTGGAGTTACTAAGCATATTTGCTGCACGAGAAGTGCATTTTCTTCATTCACTCCCGCTAGTGATGGAGAATGTCTGTTCATGGGGAATGCTTCCTTTTTCAAAATCGAGGGGAAAGGAATTGTGACGCTTAGATTTACTTCTGGAAATATCCTTAATTTGAAGGATGTCCTTTATGTACCTGATATTAGGAAAAATCTAGTGTCTGGATCTATTTTAGTCAAAAAGGGTTTTAAGATTGTATTTGAAAGTGGTCAAGTTGTACTGTCTAAGGGTGATTCCTTTGTTGGGAAAGGGTATGCAGATGAGAGTCTGTTTAAACTCAATGTCTCTGTGGTTAACAATAAAGCATCTACCTCTTCCGTTTACTTGTTGAATTCTTATGATTTGTGGCATGCTAGACTTGTACACGTTAATAAAATTTCTATTAAAAAATTAATGACTTTGGGAAACATTCCCAAAATCGATAATTGTCCAAATTCAAAATGTGAAACGTGTGTTGAATCTAAATATTCTAGAAAACCATTTCCTCGTGTTCATAGGACTACTTCGGTTTTAAGTTTGATACATTCTGATTTATGTGACTTAAAATGATATGTTACTCATGGTGGAAATAAATATTTCTTAACTTTCATTGATGATTATTCTCAATATTGTTATATTTATCTACTTAAGAGTAAGGATGAAAACTATTCAAAATTTATTTTTTATAAAACTGAAGTAGAAAATCAGCTAGACAAAACTATTAAAGTTTTAAGATCTGATAGGGGAGGAGAATGTACAGGAGATTTTGATAAATTTTGTGCTGAGAATGATATTATTCATGAGGCTACTCCACCTTATTCTCCACAATCTAATGGTGTAGCTGAAAGGAAAAATCGAACCCTTAAGGATATGGTCATATCAATGCTAAGCTCTTCTGGATTACCTTTTAACATGTGGGGGGAAGCACTTCTTACTGCATGTTTTCTTAATAGAATTCCTAGTAAGAAAAATAATAAGCCTCCTTGTGAAATGTGGAAGGGCAGAACACCTTCATATAAATATCTTAAAGTGTGGGGGTGTTTAGCTAAAGCTTCTATTCCAGCACCTAAGAGAACTAAACTTGGTCCGAAAACTGTTGATTGTGTTTTTATAGGCTATGCTTTTCATAGTAATGCCTACGGATTTTTAGTCATTGACTCTAAAAATAATTTGATTGAAAAGAACACAATATTTGAAAATAGAGATGCTGAATTTTTTGAAAATAGATTTCCGTTTAAAGAAAAGTCTGAAGGATCAAGCAGTCCTTTTAGTATTCCTCCTAGTGCTAGAGAGGAGCCATCTGAATTAGAAGAAGTTGAAATTAGGAGAAGCAAAAGACTTAGGATCACTACTTCTTTCGGTCCTGACTTTATAACATACTTAGTAGAGGATGATCCTAGTACTTTTGGTGAAACTATGTTTTCACCAGATTCTATATTTTGGAAAGAAGTCGTAAATAGTGAATATGATTCAATTGTGTCTAATAATACTTGGGAGTTAGTGGACTTACCTCAAGGATGTAAGGCAATTGGGTGTAGATGGTTGTTTAAGAAAAAAAGTAAACCTGATGGTTCAATTGATAAGATAAAGCAAGATTTGTAGCTAAAAGCTATAAACAAAAAGAAGGAGTTGACTTTTTTGATACTTATTCACCCGTTACTAGGATTACCTCTATTAGGATGTTAATTGCAATTGCCCATGTCAAGACTGCATTTTTAAATGGAGACTTAGAAGAAGAGATTTATATGGATCAGCCTGAAGGATTTGTTGCAGATGGCCTTGAGGATAAAGTATGTAGACTTAAAAAATCCCTTTATGGCCTTAAACAAGCTCCTAAGCAATGATACGAAAAATTTGATACAGTTTTGACATCAAGTGGTTATGTGATAAATGAAGCAGATAAATGCATATATAGCAAATTTGAAAATAATTGTTGTGTGATAATTTGTTTATATGTTGATAATATGCTGATTATGAGAACTAGTTTAGATGTGGTTAATAAAACTAAACAGTTTCTGAACAAGCACTTTGAAATGAAAGATTTGGGTGTTGCTGATGTTATTCTAGGAATCAAAATAGTAAAACATTCTGAAGGAATAATTTTGACCCAATCACATTATGTAGAAAAGGTACTTAAGAAGTTTAATCAATGCAACTGTATTCCTGCTAAAACACCTTACGATGCAAGCCGTCATTTGAGAAAACATTCAGGTCCTAGTGTTTCTGCTTTAGAGTATGCTAAAATAATCGGCAGTCTCATGTATCTCATGAACTGTACAAGACCTGATATAGCATATGCTGTCGGTAGACTTAGCAGGTATACTAGTAATCCTAATAATGAACATTGGGATGCTCTTATTTGAGTCTTGAGGTATTTGAGATACACTCTAGACTGGGGAATACATTATACCAAATTCCCTGCTATACTTGAGGGATATTGTGATGCTAATTGGACTTTCGATATCAATGAAAGTAAACCTACAAGTGGATATGTATTTACATTAGCAGGCGGTGCTGTCTCCTGGAAATCCACTAAGCAAACCTGCATTGCTAGATCTACTATGAAATCTGAGTTCATAGCTTTAGATAAGGCAGGTGAGGAGGCTGAATGGTTAAGGAATTTTCTTATGAATGTTCCTTTGTGGTCTAAACCATTTCCAACTATTTCAATACATTGTGACAGTCAAGCAGCTATCTCAAGAGCTCAAAATTTGTCCTACAATGAAAAGTCTAGACATATTCGTAGGAGGCACAATACTGTGCGTCAGCTGCTTAAGGATGGGATTATAGCTATTGACTATGTGAAGTCAAGTGATAACATTGCTGACCTATTAACCAAAGGATTGGCTAGAGAGCTAATTCAACAAATATCGAGGGGGATGGGGCTAAAGCCTATTATGTATTAGATCACCTATAATGGAAACTCAACCTTGCAATTGGAGATCCCATGGTCAAGGTTCAATGGGACAACAAAGTTATTGGAGTGGTCTGTGGGGGTACTACATTGGATTTATTCCAAACCCCTCCCTATAATGCGTAGTACCAACTGTATTGATTAGAAGATGAGTTAATGCTCTTAGTGCTTACTATAGCTGATATTCAATGGGGTGTTTAAATACAGTGCACCCTTGATAGTAGCACCTATTTGAGTGTGGAAGTGGGGCCGCTTCCTATGAGAATTGAGGCGAATTCTCTAGAGCACTCAAAGAAACTGGGAAAGTTCACGGCCGAAATGAACATAACCGCGAGAACTCAATGACTGTTCTAGAAATCATGTGTATTCTA